CCCAAATCAGTGAAAACACAAGATTTGAAGCATCAACACAAGGGGAAAGTTCACCGAACTATCACAAGATAAATCGCAACTTACCCAAGCACCCAGATCAGTGAAAACACAAGATTTGAAGCATCAACACAAGAGGAAAGTTCACCGAACTATCCGAAGGTGAATCGCAACTTACCCAAGCATCCAAATCAAAAAAATGACAAGTTTGACATCATCTACACTAGGGGAAACATTACCGAAGTATCCCAAGGTGAAGCGCAATACGCCCCAACACCCAAATCAACAAAATGACAAGTTTGACATCATCTACACTAGGGGAAACATCATCGAAGTATCCCAAGGTGAAGCGCAACACACCCGAACACCCAAATCAACAAAATGACAAGCTTGACATCGTCTACACTAGGGGAAACATCACCGAAGTATCCCAAGGTGAAGCGCAACACACCCCAACACCCAAATCAACAAAATGATAAGTTTGACATCATCTACCCTAGGGGAAATATCACTGAACTATCCCAAGGTGAAGCGCAACACATCCCAACACCCAAATCAACAAAATGACGAGTTTGACATCATCTACACTAGGGGAAACATCACCGAAGTATCCCAAGGTGAAGCGCAACACACCCCAATACCCAAATCAACAAAATGACAAGCTTGACATCATCTACACTATGGGAAATATCACCGAAGTATCGCAAGGTGAAGCGCAACACACCCCAGCACCCAAATCAACAAAATGACAAGCTTGAGATCATCTACACTAGGGGAAACGTCACCGAAGTATCCCAAGGTGATGCGCAACACACCCCGGCACCCAAATCAAAAAAAATCGCAGTTTTGACAAGAAGAGGAGGGGGAGAAGGAGGAGAGGGAGAAAAAAAAGAAAAGGAAGAAGAAGAGGAAGGAAGAGGAATGAGAGAAAAAGGAGAAGAAGAAGAAGAAGAAGAAGGATGTCTCCCTCCTCTTTCACTCACCTCTCGCTAGTCTCTATGTAGTGGAGTCCCAATGCTTGGTTTTAGTCTCCTGAGTATGATTTTTCCTCCTTCCTAAGCTCTCCCCTCCTTCCCTCACATCTCTCCTCTAGCTATGGCAGGCTCCTACCTCTAAGGCTGTGGAGTCCTTCCCTCTAGAAGGGCTAAGGGGACCCCTTTCAGCCTCTCCTCCTACCTCACAGCCTGAGGGCTATGGCGGACCACTCTCCTTGCTACCTCCTAGCTTCTAGGCGTTCTCCCTTAGTCTCATCACCATAGCCAGACTCCAGGCTAACTCCGACTCTCACTCCCTTGCTTCACTTCCACTCGGACTCTCTCATAGACTCATTTGGGCAGCATGGGCACCTCTCATGCTCAAATGAGAGTGGCGGCCTGCACCTCCAGCTTATGTAGGCTGGAACAGGTGCACCGCCCAACCTCTAGGCCTCTCCAAGTGCCTCTAGGTGGGCCAAGGTACCCCCAAGGCCAAATTTCCGGTTTTGGCCTATCTGGAGGTACCTAGGCCTCATTTTGGCCAGGTACATGCAGCCTGAGAGGCTGGTACCTTCTCGGACTACCCCTTGGTCTACCCCGACCTCTTTTTACTTCAAAAAGAGATGCCTTTTGGGGTACCACTTCCCAAAATGCAGCCTTTACTGAATTTTGAGGGCCTAAAAACCCATTTTTCGTCTTTTTCCTGGTCTAGGCCTCTTTTGGGTCGGCCGTTGCATTTTTCCAAGTGACGACTCCAATCTCAGCCTTGGATTTTGCTAAGATCGATGGTTCCCATCATTCCGAGCTACTCCAAGCTCCCCTTGGTTCAAATTTGAGCTTCCACCTTCAATTTTATAACTTTCTGGTGTATTTGGCCCTAACTTTGGACCAAATACTAAATTTTTGTCTTCTTCCTCTTTTGTTTTCCCTCCCTTTTGCTGCCAACTCATTTCGGAGCTAGCCGTTTTGTGTCAGCCCACAAAAAATGGCTAGATTTCCTCCTCCGCAAGATCAGATTTAAGATCTAAGGCCCAAAAATGAGCCGGTCAACTCACATCAGCATTTTTTCTTATTTTTGCTGCTTAAATTCAGATATTGCAGAGATAATGCCCCAAGGACCTTATCTCTGCAATCCGGACTGCCCTCTGAGGATCTAGGAGGGATGAGGTCATCATTGAGACCTGCCAGTCCCTACCGCTGCAGTCCCAATCTGGCGGCACATTTTTCTCCACCCATTCCTCCTCCTTTGTCTCATTTTCCCCCTTTTTTCTCTCCCTCCTCTTTTATTACTGTCGGGACAAGTGTCCAACAGCTAGTTGTCCTCTTTCTAGCTGTTGGACTTTTCCCAAGGCCTGATTTTGTAGCCGGCATATAGCCGTTGCACCTCGGACTGCAGTAGTGACACCCTCAAGGTCCAAGGAGGCTCGTTTTTGCTGCCACCGCTTCCAGTTTGAGACCCCCTTGCTCCGATTCTCTCCGGCCAGCCTCTTCTCCACGTGGAGCCCCAGAACTTCGTTTTTCTTGGCCTGGCTGGTCCGGAATAACCCGGATTGCTGGCCGGCCTCCTCATTACCACTATTCCCCCTTCTTTTCCCCTTGGCACCTCCCGCCGGCGCTTGCCGCGACGGTACTTAGCATTTTCATCGGGACCCCTGGCCCAAACGGTCCCGTCCACTTGACATTATGTAATCTTATTTTTATCATTGTTGTGCTTGTTCCAGGGTCCCCTTAGGTCGTCCCAAGTGCCCTCCGCCTTTCCCGTCTCTCGCCCGTCTCCTCCGTTTTGTCGCCAATTTTCGTCATCGCCCGACTTCTCCTCTTTTCCTTATTGTTCCTAGTCCGTTCCCCCTTTTTCGGCGTCGTCCCAGGTGACGACCTGTTTCTCCTTGGGTCATCATGCATCCCCGCCGCCCAGTCGTTCGTTGTTTCTGTCGACGGTTCCCGATACTAGTCCCGCCGGTAATTCCGCATTTTCGCCTGGTCCTACGTGGTCCCTGACACTTTGTCCTGTCGGTACCATGTCTTCTTTTTGTCTCACGTGGTCTCCGGCGCTTGCTCTGTCGATGCCACGTCTTTTTTCTTGGTGTTTCCGACGTCCCTCTGTCTCACGGCGATCTCCGCTCCCTGCTCCTATTGCGTTCCGCATGCTATTCCGTTCCGGGTGCCGGTTCCCACCTAACCCGCGGTCTCCTTGGCCCTCTTGCCGATGTGTCACGTCAGCGCCTTGCGCCCTATCCCTTCTCGCTTCCTTCCTTCCCTTGCTGCGCACCTCCTATGCTACTACCGACTTCCCAGCGGCCCTTCTTCGTCCTTTGGGGAAAGAGTTGCCCCTGCTATTCTCTCACAGTCCTTTGCTGCTTCCTGCTTAGACCGTCCTTTTATAGTTTGGCGGTCCTGACGACCCTGGGCAGCCTCTAGCTTCCTACTGCCTGTGCCCACGCTTCCGATCTTTCCCGCATTCTTGCCTCCGCCGTGCACAAATTAGTCATATACAATCTCTTGAGTAACGGGAAGTCATTCGAGACTCACCAGTCCCGACACCGGACATCACAGCAGCGACCTACGCATGGTACACTAGGTCGCCCGCTCCTAAAGCTCGCCCGCTATTGGTCTTAGACTTGCCGCCGACCACACCCTCCCCATTTCATTTCGGCACCCCGGAATGCCCCCGCCCTACCTCTTATGGAGTCGACGACATTGCCGGAAATGGAAACTGCCACAAAACGACAAAAAGACAACCGGACTAAGCGCAGGCTTTTGGCTGCGAACTCACCCCGCCTCTCTCGTCTATGGGCCTCGTTCGACACCACTTGAAAATACTTGAGTTTCAAGGGCACCCTATCTCACAGAAGGTGATTAGTTTCCCCTAACTTGTTTTTTCGTTTCACAACCCCTTGAGGAAACCCTTGAGATGGCCGTCCTTGAAACTGAAGTGCTGACGGCATTGCATCAGGAACAGTGGTGATTGGTGGAGTAAAAAAGAAAAAAAGAAAAAGGTCCGTATATTCTTCGTTTTGAAGGGTGAAACCCTTCGGGCCCAAGTGACCTCCAGAGGCACCCTTGGGATTTTCGTTGATTTGCCTGGGCCGCACTTCCCTTTCAAGGGCGGACACTTGGCTGCGGGGATGTGGAAACAATTAGCGACTTCAAGGGTGCATGATTAGGGCGGGGTCTGAACGACGCTTCCTTGTAAAACAGCAATTTCCAAGTGGTGTCAAACGAGGCCCTATACATCGGCGAGGTGAGTTGTCTGTCGATGGGCTGAGTTCGGTGCTGTACAACACTCACCCCGCCTCTCTGGTCTATACATAGGCGAGGTCAGTCGTCTATCGATGGGCTGAGCTGGGTGCTGTACAACACTCGGCCCGCCTCTCTGGTCTATACATAGGCGAGGTGAGTTGTCTTTCGGGTTGAATGTGGGTGTGGTCGAGGTCGAAACTCATCCCGGGTGACTATTCACCCCGCAAACTCACCCAGGTCGAGTAGTTCAGCTCTGCTCAAAGACAAAAACACAGGAAATCGGCGAAAAGGGGCTGATATCCTTCCCGTGATTTCTTTTCTGCGATCATTGAAGATCCTCGTCAACGCCAAGGCTGTACATCGTAGTCGTAGTCATTAGGCAGTGGTGGTGGCGAGTCTGTGGTAGGCTTGGAGAGAGAGAGAGAGAGAGAGAGAATGGGAATGGCGGAAGATTTGACAGCGCTGCGGGCTGCTGTTGAGGCCGATCAAGAGGATGTGGCGAGGGCAGGAGACACTGTGAGGGAACTGAAAGCTCGATTGGCCACGGAAGGAGCATCTGCGGCCGGTAAAGCTGCCATAGACGAGGCGATCGAGCAGTTGAAGAGATGCAAGATTCGACTGGAAGAATCTATGAAGCAGTACACGTTGAAGTCCGGCGGGGCTAAAGGTGACTCGGCGAATCGTGAGGCGTTTAACGAGGCTGTGAATAATGCTTTGAGGCGCCGTTTGTTTTACATTCCAGCGTTTGAAATTTATGGCGGCGTTGCCGGTCTATACGACTACGGTCCCCCTGGGTGCGCCGTCAAGACGAACGTGCTTCGCTTCTGGCGGCAGGTTGAACGTTCCCCTTTTCTCCCTCGTCCATCTGCCTCTCTCCTGTATCCCGGCATCTCTTGCTCTTTTCTTTTGCCCGTCTTTCCCTCTTTCTCTTCCAACCTTCTCCTCCCTCTCCCTTTCTCTGCTCTTCGTGATGTACATTTCTCAGCTCCTAAATCCTCTTTCCTCGGCTCTCCTTCGCCTCCTTGCTCATCTGTCCTTCCATCTCTCTTCAATCTCTTCTGTCGTCTCTCTTATGTCTGGAGTCCCCTTCCCTCTCCTTCCGTCTCTCTGTTATCTCCGCCTCGTACTGCCGTGTTTTCTGCCTTCTCTGCCCTTTCTCGCGTCTCCCGGTGGTCCTGCCTCCTTTTCCTCTCCCCCGCTGGCATTTACACATCGCATGCTTGCCTCTCCGTGTTTTTTATCTGTCTCGTTTTCCGTTCTCTCGTTTCCATCGTCCTCCTCTTTCCCTCCCGTCAATTTGTGCCGAGATCTCTTTTCTCCGTCGGTGGTGTCTGTTGTCTTTTGTCCGGCGGCCAATGTGTCCTATGAAGTTCCATCCTCCCTCCCCGCCAAAACCTTCCTCATATATGGCCAGAGGGCCCCGACTATCAGGGGTCCCAAGGCCACAATCTCATGAATCCCCCAATATCCTGCTAGAGCCCATCGACCATCCTCCCCTTTCCCCCAGCCAGTACTTTAGGGCAGGGCACAGACCCACATCACCATACCCCTCTGCATTTATCGGTATGTCTCGTGGCACCCCGCGGGCCCCCCGCCGCCCCGACCCCCGCCCGGTTGGCCCCTCCTCCCCCCCTCCCCTCCCGCCCCCGAGCGCTCATCGTGTCCCTTGGTATCTCTTTTGACGTGGCGCATTTGTCTCGCTTCCTCTAGCGCGCTTCGCTCCCCTCGCCCCGGCCATTTCCTTCACCTCTTGCCACTCAAGGAGTTTCATTTCTGCGTGCGTCTAGGTTTCCTCATGTTGTATTTGGATCTGCCATCAGGCCCAGAGTACACCAGGAAGACGACCATGAGCTCAAGGGCGGTATCATTTGGTACCCTTAAAATTGTTGGCCAGCGTATGATCACGTCCTCGTATATAAACTTGCCCATTGAATGGACTGGTCAAGCCACCCTATATTGGTTTTACGCCCCTGTCGGTTGTCGATATGTGCGCCAAAGTTATACCTGGCGATCAGCGTAGGTTGACCAGTGGTGAGGTGCAAGAATGACGCAGATGATGACAGCACAAGGCCATGCATGGTGTTTTTTGGAGATGGACAAGGGTAAAGCAGCCCACGTATGCACGAGCATCATCAACTGTGAGCGTCTCCTATTGTGTGATTTGTGTTCGCTTTTCTCATCTTTTCGCTGGTATGTTTTGCGTCCTTACCAACCTTGGAAAGAGAGCTGCTTTGCTCTTTGGAAGGAAGATTTTCTATCTTTTTGGATCATATGCTTTTCGTTTTCCGTGTCTCATCACGTTTCTCGATTCTAGACTTTCTGACGCGTTATCGGCTGTCCTACTGCGGGTATGTGCTCTATTTCAGCACTTCGTCCTGGAGGAGAATATGCTGGAGGTAGATTGCCCGAGCGTCACACCGAGGGTAGTGCTACAGGCTTCAGGACATGTCGAGAAGTTTACCGATTTGATGGTGAAGGACGTGGTGAAGCACACGTGTTATCGTGCCGATCATCTGTTGAAGGACCACATCGAGAAGCTGATCGAGAAGGACCCGTTGATGGACTTAAAGAGGAAGGACGAGTTAAAAACCATTCTTGTACGTGTTGATGAACTGACGGAAAAGGAGTTGGGTTCACAAATCAAGGCGTTTGGCATCAAAGCTCCGGAGACGGGAAATGACCTGTCCGATCCGTACGCATTCAACCTTATGTTCGCTACAGACATCGGCCCA